AGATGGGCAAACGCAATATCCTGGAGGTGGTGGCCGCACGTTGCTCCCTCTATAACCTGGTGGAGAGGAAAGGGGAGGCCTTCCTGCCGGAGTGGGGGACAGGTGCTGATGGCGAGGGGAGGCCATTTCAGCAGCCCCAGATGGCTGCCATCTTCCAGGCTCACCAGTCTGGTGTCCGAATCAGAGAGGCCCTGAGGGAGAGGTTCTCAGAAGGAGCCCACTGACTCCCCAGGGCCACCCCCATGGGGGGTTTGGCATGGCTCACCCTACCTGTGTCTACCCTCACCCTCTTCCCATAAAGAATACATACACACCCGGTTTTCTTTGGACACAGACATTAGTTTTTTATTAGAAACACTATCAATAAAAAAAAGTGCTGTTTTAAAAAAAATCTGTTTACTGTTCAAATGTTTATAGATAAAGTAAATCTTTCACTCAAAAATAAAGATGTTGTTATATAACTGAAATGACCTTTAACTGGGGTGGTAGGGGACTGAAAACCTGGAGAGGGGAGGAGGGCTCAAGTAGGCCACTGCTTCCCTGATCGCAGGGTCCTGCCACCTTCCTGTGTCCTGGCATCACCACAGCCTTGGGATCCGGTGGAGTGAGTCCTAGTCCTGGCCTGGGGCGGGGGGGGAGGCAGCTGTTGGGCCTGTGAGGGCTCAGGAGCAGGGGAGACTGGGGAGGAAGGGGGGGCTGGGGGTGAAGGGGGGACTGAAGAGGAAGGAGGAGCAGGGGCCTGGCATGCAGGAGGAGCGGTGCTCGTGACAGGGGCAGGCAAGGCGAAGATCTCCCGCATTGTGGCACAGATGGTAGCGCACTGCTGGACCAGCTCATCCAGCAGCATCCTCTGCTGGAGGGTCCTGTTCAGGTCCTGTTGGGCCACTACGTGCTCCCTCAGCAGGTCCGTGTAGACCCGCCAGTGCCTGCGGGTGCCACGGGTCCGGGATGGTGGTGGGGCGAGTGTGGTGCTCCCCTATTGGGGAGAGGGTCTGGCTGTGGAGGAAAAGAGGAGGAGACAATCAACATCTGTATGCACCCCTGCTGTCCCTGAGGGCATGCCGTGGCTGTCGGGCTCTCCTTTGGACAGGAGACTCAGGGGTGTTACATGTGACACCGCGTGTGAGTTGGGCAGTGGCCTGAAAGCCTCCCAGGGGCCCTACAGTGGCAATGCAGCTATATGGCTCCCCACACTGCCAACCCACCCATGTGTGGTGACACCTCAAAGCACTCACCTGATGTTCCCTCCCCAATGTCCGCAGATGCCTGGGAGGCCTCTGGGATCTGGGTCTCTGCTGCCTCCTCTTCCTCCTCCTCCTGGTGCAGCTCTTCCGCCTCTCCTGCCTGGTCTTCCTACCTCAGGAGGGGTCGGTCCACGATGTGGTGGGGTAACCTGGACACCACCACACGCAGTGACGTCTGGGCTTCCCCACCTCCCAGGATCTGCTCCAACTCCTGGTAGTAAGGGCAGGTCTCAGGGGCTGCCCCGGAGTGGGAGCTCTGGTCCCAGGCCCTGGCATATGCCTGCCGCAGCTCCTTTACCTTGGCCCTGACTTGTGCCATGGTGCGGGGGTGATGCCCTTTGGTGGCCAGTCCCTGGGCCAGGTGCTCGTAGATGTCCACATTCCTGCGGTGTGTCTGCACGGCCTGCAGGACTTCTTCCTGTGACCAGAGCTTCAGGAGGTTTTGAATTTCTGGTCCTGACCAGGCTGGTGCCCGCCTTTTGGTGCCCCTGGGTGGGTCCTCGTCTCTGTCCCAAGAAGGGCCGGAGGGGCCTTGAGGCTGGGACACAGTTGTCACAGCTGGCACGAGTGCTCTGGCTAGCTGCCGGACAGCAACGCCTGTCTGAGTGCCTGTGCCTTTAAGAGGCTGTGGCCGGGAACCACAGAGGTGCTGTACATGTAAAGACTAGACTGTCTACCAGGGCTTCTTCCTGGAGGCCTTTTTTGTTGCCAGAACTGGCTCCCTGTATCCACACACAACTTTTTTTGACAGATCTCTTTCGACAAAGGCGTTCTTCCTCGTAAAACGAGGTTTACTGCTGTCGGCAAAACTTCCGCATTCTGTCGACTTACTGTCGACAGAACGCGGTGGTAGTGTAGACGCAGGTATAGTTTTGTTGACAAAAGGCCACTTTTGTCAACAAAACCCTGTAGTCTAGACACACCCAGAGAGTCCTCGTTAAGGGAGGTTCAACCTGTACCAGGTGAAATTGTAAATTATATATTATTTATTAAGCAAAAAATTGTAAGTAAAGGAATGTTTATTACGAATACTCTGAAAAGATAATACAAAAATGGCATGTTAAAAAAGAAATCTATATAAAGAGAAGGATTTGACTGCGTTTGTGTTTTTAGGTGCAACAATGCTCATTCAAAGTAGGCTATATATCTGTTGTCTTTTAACATGCTGAGAATGTGCACTTTTTCAAATGAATATTGAAATTCTCCATGATACTGAGCTGTATTACAGAATGTAGCAATTATTGAATACCCCAAGTTTGGTATGTGTTACCTGAGTGATTATGACTCCAGCTTTGGATATTAACTTTATAGCTACAATTCATGTTGCTAGTCGAGTTATTTTTCTTAAGTAGCATTTTAGCAGAAATTGGCCATCAGACAGACAAAGTAGGCTGCATAGTTCTGAAATCATGATTGTCATTATTCCTTACCAATCGCTTGTTTTATGTTGTAATTAAAAAAACAAAGCCTTCTATATTGGAAAATATCTAGTATGTCTTTAATCACATTTTGGATACAAAGAAGACATTGTGCACTTTAACCTCCTACTGAAATAACTGAACTTCAGTGCTAAGTTCATCATGCACCCAAGTTTTCTAATATATGAAATTGCTTGTAGGGTTCTTTAGCACACAAGAGAAAACTGCAAAGAATTCTCTCTCATCCTGTGAACAAGTGTTTCTTCACTGAATAATATCTCAAGCATTTGTAAAGCCACACCGTGTACAGTTTTTAGTATCTTAGTGTCAGGTGACACCTTAACAATCGACTATTGTCTTTGCTTATAGGGCACACCTGACTTTTTTTTAACTCTTACTTTTAAAATGCTATTCTTTTTTTACCCGCTTAATTGTCAATTCATAATCTCTACAGAATTTGGCTTACTTGATAATTTCCCTCTTCAAAAATAAAACAAAACATTGATTTCCTGTTAAGTAGAATTTCTAATAGGAGAAATGTACCAGGGTCTCTCTTCTCTTTCCACCTAAGCAGACAGTGTAATATAGACTTTAGCAAAGCATTAGACACAGCAAATGTAAAATTAATATGCAAATGAGAACAAACCATATGACAGGTGTTAGTCATGCCATTTAGTGCATTCCTGGAGGGAAATGATGAGCGTAGCATAAGAATCCCCACATAAAACAGCATATTAGATTGCATGAAAATTATCTGAAGTGCTGCGAATGACACATACTATAAAAGGGAACGTATCAAGATACTGGGGATGTGCTAGATATGAAGTCACAAAAAATGGTAAATGCCTCACTCTTATTTAACATTGTCACTTGTATTTTGGATGTACAGCTAAACCATGTGTTTATTACAGTCATCAATATGTTAGGAAGTGAGACCAGTGGAGACAGAGAATACAGAGGGGCCTGTGGTCAAATCTCAGAACAATGATGTCACCCTAACTAGCCAGTCTGTGCTTTTGGGCTCTTCACATTGATTTGGAGTGGGGGAAATTAGCCTGTGTTTCACGTGGCCCTGTTCTTGGAGAGAATGGCTGGCAGAGACACACGCCTCTCACATGTGCTTTCCAAATCCTGACACCCACAGTGGTTAGAAATGTCTAAGAGAAATAATGGGATTAGCCTGGATCTGAAAAATGGGAACTAGCACACTTGGGGAATAATATGAATTAGATATTTGATGAAACAGAGACCCTGGGAAATCAGTAGGGCCAAGATAGCCCTTGGAATGCAAGTGAACAGTAAGGTAGCAATGCTTGTTATCTGATACAGAAGCAACAACACCCAGTAAGGTAATTTGTGCCTAGTTAGCCATTGCACAAGGTAGGGGTGTATGGAGATGCACAGTTCCAGTGGGATAGAGGCATTATGCCTCACTCAGGCTGAATGTCAAAGAGTGTTTCTGAACAAAGAGCTCTATAATGTGTGGAATAACCTGCCAAATTAATGGACAAAGTAGCTGCATCTGGGACATTTGATTGACTGGACAAAGTATGGGGGAATGTTGTTATGAAATATTTGCATTGCACTGGCACCTAAAGGCCACAATCAAGAATCACAGCCCATTATAGTAGGAATTTTTTATGAAATAAAAGGTGGTCACTGCCCAAAGGCTAAGTAAAATAAAGGAAATAATCCTGCATTACCAGGGTCCTTCTCCAAATGCCACTGAAATCTTTCTATTAACTTCAGTGTGCTTTTGGACTGGACTCTTGAGGTGAAATCTGGTTCCACTGAAATCAAAGATCATTCTTTGTCATTGGCTATGATGGGGTAAGGATTTCATTGATGTCCTATTAGATATTTTCCATCTTTCCACTATTCTATAAGGGTATGTCTACACTACCACCCTAGTTCGAACTAGGGTGGTTAATGTAGGCAACCGAAGCTGCAAATAAAGCCCGGGATTTGAATTTCCCGGGCTTCATTTGCATCTTGCCAGGTGCCGCCATTTTTAAATGTCCGCTAGTTCGGACTCCGTGCCCGCGGCTACACGCGGCACGGACTAGGTAGTTCGGATTAGGCTTCCTATTCCGAACTACTGGTACACCTCGTTCTACACTGTATCATGATTTTCAAGCAAACAAAAATGGACCAAACTTTTATTTATTGTATTTGCTTCTCTTTCATTAAATATACATTGTTAAAGTTTTCTCTTCATGTTTCTACATGTTTCTCTCCATGGCGTTCATAAGGCTGATTATTAAAGTAGTAGATTCTTCCAGTAAAAAAAAAAAAGGAAAAACCCCGCCACAACTATGAAAGACACACATTTCTGTGGTCTATTTTCTGTTCTTTATTAACTCAGCATTGTCTTCTACAAATACGATTTGTCATTCACTGGAAGATTGGAAATGTAAATTTAAGTTACACATAGTTATAAAAAGCATAGAACAGCACACACTGTACCACTGTTTAGACCAGAAAACATTGTGTTGTCTCATAGCAAAGAGTGCTATATGAGCAAAGCGTCACCACTTCTCCTTTAGGGACTTCAAGCTCCAAAGTTGCAGTTGCTTCCACTCCTTTTCCTTCTTTAACTTTCAATGACCTGTAGGTATGCTTCCCCTGGTATATCTCACATGAGTCAGGAACAGGTACCAGGGAACTCCAGCATAATTCAGTTCAGATCCACCACAGGGTAGCTTTCTACTGGCTCTTGAAAAATAGTTTTCCTCATGCTCCGCTCTGAATAGTTATGTAAAATATATGATAGGATGATGTGTCTTTGATTTTGACATATCTCTTGTCTCATACTTTGCTTAAACAATAGCTTGAAAATATTTTACAGAGGAAGCAGGTTGCTCTTCCAGATGTCATTCATTATATTGCTATATTTTATACCCTATTAATAAGTATATACACAATTTCTTAATTGCCTCTTACAGATGCATGGAAGCATATAATATAATAGTTTTAATGTATCCCTTTTTTAGATTTATTTTTTATTCTTGGCTCATGTCAGTCTCTTTAATAAACTATGATTGCCTGGAGAATATAGGAACTATTTGGAATGTTGTTTAAGGTTTAACAATAACTGATAGCAGTGTCCATTTGTGGTTTGAATAGCTCGAGCATCTGTCGTGGGGATCTGGTTGAGATAGCAGCATCATAAGTGTAAAACAATCAGGTAAGGCCATTAGTGTACAGTGCTGACAGGTGCTGGGTTCTGTTGTTTATCTTGGGCTTTTCTTTTCTTCTGCTGCATTTTGTTTTTGTTTTCCCGCTGCTCTCGGTTTTGTCTTCGGGATTCTCGGTCTTTGTTTTCCTGCCTTGTCTCCCTACTTTCTTCTTTGTTTGGCCTTTTCCCTTTCTCATCTCTATTTTTTTTCCCTGAAATAAAAATACATGGCACATTATAAGCAATACTTAGACCATCCCAGTCTTTGAATCCCATCAGTTTGCCAAGAGACTGAAAATTTGCCCTTTGATTACAAGCTCATGAAGCTGACACCGAACAATAACCCAGTAGTCAGGACATCTATCATAGTTTTTCTTCTGTGAATCAGATCTTTACTCTATGCCAACTGCCCCCAACAGAGGTCATTGTGAGCATGGCAGAGTGCACCTGCACTCTGCCACTTCTCATTTCGTGTATACTCCAACTGATGTAAGTTAGAGCACTCCACAGGATGATACAACTTATGCCTGACACAGAAGCCACAGCGAATGTGGCTAGTAAACCACAATGCTGTAAGTGGCTCCCTGCTTATTCCCCTTCTCTGTCCCAGAGCTCTGCTCAGCACAGGAGAAGATCTGGGATCTACAGTCTTAAACTTTTCTCTCTCCTGCAGGGGATGTCCTTCCCTTCAGGGAGAAATATCCCTTACGGAATATTTAAATATTGCTAGTGGCTGTGGACTATCTGTGCAATGTATTTATCCTTTTATTTCTCACGTTCATGTTAGAAACCTCTCCAAGTATGAAAGACTTTAACAGTTAAACTTGGCTTTATACACAAACCAAAACTTGAGTGGGTTTTATATGGGAGAACTGGTTCATATACTGAGCCCTATAAGTGAAATTTACCCATATGCAGAAGAATCCTTCTGATGCTATAGAACAGTATTTGAAATGAGATATAAGTAGCATATGAGGCCTTGTGCTAGCTCCCTCCACAAGGGAAAATTTCACTGTTTGTGCAGTACTGAGAAACACCTAGTTAACTCTGTTTTACGGCATCATGGCAAATGTCATGTTCTGAAAACAACAATCACTGCTTATTACAGCAAAAAATACTTTAGTCCATGTCTCATAAGTGTATAATATTAGAAATACCCTGGGTTTGGTGACGTCTGTATTTGGAAAACAGCTATAACCAAACCCGGTTACTAGGAGATAGATCTCTGTGTTGTCTGTAATGGAGAGGGTGATGAATATAGGGAACCAAGCCGATCCAAGACATGAAAAGCTGAAACAGGAGAAAAGGTAAAAAGCTCTGGCAACTTGTAGGGGATTGAAAACCAGTTCAGGATGGAGGGAGGGAGTAGTTCAGTCTAAGGAAAGATTAAAGGTCAAGGGTGTCAGATCAGGGGAAGAGGAGCTAGAACAGCATGAAGGAGACTGGGAAGAGAGGCAAGAAGTAAGGCTAGAGAATGAAGGGAAGTGTGCAGTGGCCCATGTGCGATGCATAGTTAAGTTTATGATTTAGTCAGGGGTGTTTTTAATAAAAGTCATGGACAGATCATGGGCAATAAGCAAAAAATCACAGTCTGTGACCTGCCCATGACCTTTACTATAAATAACTGATTAAATCTTAGCTGAGTGACCCTAGAGCACCTGCTGGGGAGGGAAGGGCACAGGAGGCTGTTGCTATAAAGGGCCTGTTGCTATAAAGGGACACCACTGCTCAGGGGAAGGGGATGGGAGATGGGGGGATCTGGGACAAGTACCCACCAGCCACTGCTGAGGTGACCACTGGGGCCAGCTGCACTCACTATGGCTCAGGCAGTCCTGATGGCTAACAGCCCAGGGCCATCCAAGCAGCAGCTGGCCACAGGCTGTTCCAGCGGTGGCTGGTGTGGCTGACTGCAGGGCCGCTCAAGCGATTGTCTGCGCGTTTGCTACAGAAGTTAAAGAGGTCATGGAAAGCCATGCAGCCTTATGCATAATTACCCGTCTTGTTTCCCAACAAGTCCATTCCTGACCAGTTCCAACTGATAAAAGTTTCAGATTAAAGTTAAGAGATTTACACTTCCTAAGCCAATTATGGATGAATAACTGAGTCTTTCTTCTGCTACGTCAGAACAGAACAGCGTTGCTGTTAATCCAATGAATTTGGACGGTCAGACAAAACAAGTGTACAAGCCTGTTAACAGCACCAGTGCTCTCTAAATGGCAGATAAGCTTACAGCGTGAAGGACAGCAGACATTAAATGGTGACCTATGGAATGTGTGCCCAGTTCTCAGAGACGACTCAAAGTGTTGGGTTACAAACCATTTCCATTTTGAGTTCCTTTCAGTATGTGAACATGCATCAAGTCCTAATAGTATATATCTATGTGTCAGTGACAGTTTTGAATTCAGTTCCAAACCTCTGTAAAGACTATCAACCCCAGAAGAAATGTTATTTTGATGGAAATCATCCAGATGTTCAATGTTTGACATTGTTCACTTGGTGATGGTCCAATATTGTACAGCTGTAACCTCCTAACCTCAATGGTTTGGACACATTGGAAATGCACTCCCTGGCTGCCTCTTCAGACACTGATTGATTTGGAATTTTTAGACACTCATGGCAACTCACTGATCTAGCCCTGGGAGATGATAGATAGATAGATAGATAGATAGATTTAGAAAACAAGTGGAATTATTACTCAAGACAGGCAGCAATATTGTTTGGAAAGATCTTGAAACTCAGTAATATTTCTGTTACTGTGCAGTGGGGTGGCAGGTGGAAGGGGAGTCCTGGGTTGCCCGGGGTGCTCTGCTGCTTTTAAATTGTGGCACTTTCAATTACTATCTAGGCTAGCAGTAGTGTGATGCATCCAAAGTTGCCGACCAAGGCGGAGAGGCAGCTCTCTTGGGCACTTTAAATTGCCCCAGAATTTCAGGCTACCCAGGCCAGGCAGTGATGAAGGGTTGTCTGGAGGAAGCTAGCTTCCAACCTTACCCCTTCCACCTAAATCTGAGAAATGATCTAAAGTCACAATATGAGTTTACTACACAACACCAAATTGAAAGGGGGTACCCCTTGTGGCTGCCCCTGGACAACACACTAGAATAGCATATTCCCTCTTGTGCTTCTGCAGAAGGGTTGGTCTACACCAGAAAGTTAGAGCAATCCAGCTATGTTGCTCAGGAGTATGAAAAAAATCACATACCTAGAAGACGTGGTTAAGCTGGCCTAAGCCCTAGTGTTGACAGCATTAGATTAATGAAAGAATTCTTCCCTTGACCTAACTACAGCTTTTCAAGAGGGTGGATTTACTATAGCAGCTACAGTGTCTCTAGTCAAGAGAGAGCCTAAAACTGGATGGAGGTGGAGGGGAGTGTGTACTGAGTCTATTGAAAGGGTGTCAGGCCTGCTGCAGCAGCATACACTCTGCAGGAACAGTAAGAAAAGAATCAGGCTGAGTCAGCCAGTTATACTTCGAAGGTCCCACTGCAGCCCAATCACTCCACTCACCCCTCTAGAGAGGGGAATTTCTTAAAAGTTACAACCTTTAATGAGTTATGCAAAAGCCAGCATAAGCTTTGGCAGTGACTGAGCATAAGCTGCATTGGTGCTCCCTTTGCACACAGTGGGGTAGATTGCTAGGCCCAAGTCAACTTGCACTTGGTGCGGGACCCAGGGTGATGGAGAAGATGGATCTAAGACAACTTCATGCTCCCCAGTGACTGTCCTGACTCGGAGCTACAGCAATTGCTAGCATAATGTAAGAACTCATCTAAATTAGACTGGCTAGAGCAGTTTCTGGGCAGAACTGGTCAGAGAAACTTCAATGGAAACAAAGTCCATCAGAATTCACAGAATTCTATTAAGATCACACTTTGTGAAACTGAGTCAATGTCACTGGAATTTCATTTCAAAAGAAAATGTGGCAAAAAGTTTCCTCGATTTCAAACCTGTCATTTTTGACATCTTTGGAACAATTTTTTTTTTGCTTTTTTGCTTTTTGCTTTCTTATGAATGTTCTTATTTATTTTTCATTATATTATACATTTTAAGACACAAATCAAAACCAAAAATCATTGACATCAACCCAAACCGGTGTTTTAAAAAAGTTTTATTGGTGAAGATTTTAAAATGTTCAGGTTTCACACCAATTCAGAACTGCAGCCAATCTGGAAATCCCTCACAAAATGGAATTTCCATCGTCTGCACAACAAAGGGATTCCTGGACTCTGTACCGTTAAACTTGCTTTGCACAGCAAACAGCTTTCTCTGCATAGCTCTTCATGTGAAACTCTTAATGCAGTCTATCACAAATGCACACATATTGCCACTTTTTGTGAAGGAGCCTCTGTTCTAGAATGTTGCATTCTGCTTCTCTGGAAAAACAATTTGACCAAAAAGAGTAATCTTTGCAGTTTTTGTAAAGCAGGCACTCATCTATCATCATGCGGTGCTGGCTCATTAGCGCTTTTAACCACACTTTTTATAAACATGTATATAATGGTGTTACTTTGTTTCCATCCTCTCTGGGATATAGATTCTTCTGGCACTTGAAGGTTAGGGGGAGAAGGTGAAAGTTCCTCTTCTCTTAGTTACCCATTAATAAATGGGTAGCGTTTGAGCTTCTTGCTGCTTGTTGCCTTCTCTTCACCTCCCCAACCCCTTTCCCCCCCATCACATGGGCAGCAGCTGGGAATATTTGGAGACACATTTAGTAAAACACAAGTTGATGCCTTTTGCTGTATTTTCACGCCAACAAGGAACAAGAACAAAAACTTCCTTGTTCTGTGTGAACATCCTGTGACACATTTAATGAAAACAAGGCTTTTATGCCAGAGGGAAAAAAAAAATCTCAATATTATGTAGCACATACTGCACTGTCCTCCAGCCCAGAAGTGATGGCATTGCATTAGACCTTCGGGTAAGTAGCTATAAAGTGCTTAAAGGATTCTATGAAATGAAATGTGCCATATAAAACATATTGTCTTTATAGACGGAGTGCACACTGTGGGGCTGATGGACTTGCTGGGCCCCTGAGCAAGGCAGGAAGGAGGGGGAGTGCTGGCTCTGTGCAACCGGAAGGGGTGGAGCTTAGGGCGGAAGGGGTGGGACCTGGCAGCTGCCCCTGCTGAGGTAGTTGCAGCAGTGCCTGGGAGCTCTGGACCCTTTTAAATTGCTGAGCCCCAGGGCAGTTGTCCCATTTGCCCCCCCCTCC